TCATAACACACTGAGAAGGTTTGTGTTGACATGAGTGCACCTGTTAACCCTAGCTGTATCAATCATCCCCAGTGTGTTGACAGATGTGTAATGGTTCAGCGGCCAAAAAGGAGGAAGTGCATTTTACGATGAAGGTTAAACAAAGAATAAGCATGTGACAGTATGCATCATGTCATCAGTTCCACTTGAGTTACCCTTCAGGTTTCAGCTGGACCGCTGTCATCTTGGTGAAGACAATGCTGCCTAGGAATTGGGATGAGCAGAAAGTCCCATGCAGCTGTGACATGATGTTGTAGCCGACGATTCCTTGTGGTTAAAATTGCTGGCAGAAGTGAGAACCAGAGATTCAACTCTTTATTCTCACAGGGGCGGCTTGCCACTATAATGTGAGAAAACACTCAAACTGCCTAGAAAAACCTACTGCTTCATCTCTCCTGCTCCTACAGCAGACCAGAACATATTTCTTTCGTATTTAATATCTCTGCAGGTTGGAAAGTTAATCAGAGAATTGTTGCAATGCATTACACAAAAGATTTTTAAATTTGTTTGTTTAATTTACCCCTACGGATTCACAATGTGTGTGCCAGTGGCCTGTATAATCATTCCTGTGTTACTCTATCAAGCCTTACATCAATGTTTTACTGCCCCCTAGTGGAAAAAGATCATAACTACAGCTCTGATGAAAGTGTAGCCTAAATTAACCTGCAGTACAATGTTTGCACTACCATGAGTTCAACACTAATGACAAAGCTTATGAGGAAGTTTTGGATGTTGATATATAATTAGCTTTAAATTAGCTGTAAATGAGCTTGCTTTCACTGCACTACATATTAGTATCACTCTTTTCATATTACCTCCTTTATTACTTTGCCATCAACTGCTCATTATGAAATTAATTATGATTTCTGACACAGTGGAGCTGCTCAGCCATGTTTGTCATTCTCCAGTCAGGCTGATAGAGAGCAGATCTGCCACAGCACTGAACAGCCTGCAGATCTCAGGCCCAGGTGGGTTCATGTGCAGCTGTGCTGGGTTTAGATAAATATTGAAAAGCCCACAGTGGCTGCATCTATAATTTACTGACCATTTTAAGCATTTCTAAATAAATAAATAAATAAAAATGTTTCATGTTCAACTGTGCTTTAATCATATCCCTGGAGTGTATTATTTCAGTTTTCAGTTTTCTGGGCAAAGAGCTAAGTAGCTACAGTTTTGTTTATATATAATAGACCTGTTTTTTAAAATGTAGACCTAAACCTGTCTGTCCGTCGGGAGCCTCCAGAATTGTATGTAGGCCTATATGTGCATGTGTCAGTTTACTTGATCAGTAAACATTTCACATATTTGGAAAAACACTTTACTTTATGAGGCATGAATTATAGTAAAAAAGCAATGTGTCTATAATCTTTTTGAACTAACTTATACTACTTATAAATAAACATAATAAAAAAACATACATTATATGCCATTAAACTGATTAAATAGATCCAGTACCTCTACCAAGTTCAGCAAAACACGCAGATAGAAATCCTGCGCCTGCTTCAAGAAATGTTGTTTTATATTATTGATCCATGGATATACATCAGCAAAGTTCAAACACAAACTACATTTTCCAGCATGTTGTTTGCATAAAACTCACTGACATGCCAGAAACTTTCTGTTAAACAAATTTAACCTTTAACTTTCGTATAAAACAGATGTACCCACTGGGGTTTTTCAGGATTGTTTTGTAAAATCTACAGCAAACGTAAAAATGCACATCCTTTTTATAATATTTAAAATACAAAATCCTATGTTAGTTTGAGAGAAATATTCTTCATAATGAATGTGCATTTCATTCTTTTCAACATTTTCCGAATTCTATACCACTGAAGCAAAATGTGCTTATTAACTGTAACTCCCTGCTGTGATTATTGATAAATTCATCATATGGAAGCCTGCATGTTGCTCTGAGGATTCAGGATATTAATATGCTTTTTAGTATAGTCATTAAACTGATAAAATTAATAATTGAACAGGCACAGGGTCTATGCAATGTGCAAGAATGCATTCTGTACAGACATAACACTGGCTATTGCACCTGCAAATGTATGTTTGTCTGACCACTTCACTCACATATCTGAGATTATTTAAAGATGCAGTTGAGCTGGCCATGTCTTCAAAATACAGCAGGCAAGATGCCATCTGAGCAGCACATAATTTATATCCATTAATATGACATGTAAGTAATAGCACCAAACAAAATGACAGCTCCAATAAAAGCTCAAAACTTAATGACAATAATTTGACATGTCTTCAGAAGAACACTTATAATAATTGCAGGACTTGTGTGTTGAGTTTTTGACAGGTTTTCCATTTGGAAACCAAAGAAGCCACAGAGCAGGGTTGTTACATCTGATACAAATATGAGGAATTTAGCCACAAGCCATTAATAATGAGTCATACTTTTGAATATGCTTTCAGATATATCATTGGTAGCTTTGTGAGCAGGCACACTTCTTTATTTTAAAATACAATGTTTTGAACAGTTCTCCCTTTACACTCCAGAAATTTTATCGATCAGTATTTTGGTAAATTTTACACACATTCCAAGGCAGTCTTGGTGTTTTAGATGAGAATGAATCTGTTGGTCAGTCAAGTGATGCAGCTACTTCATTCCCTGTGAGAATATACAGCATATCATCTCACTTCAACTCAATCCATCCTCTTTTTTTTTTTTGCAAGAGTTAGATAGATGTCTATGGGCTGAAATCAGCCTGTGGTCACGGAGCTATGGTTTAATCAGAGAATCCATACTCCAGACTGAAGCATTGCAGCACAGAACTTTGCATGAGTTTTAAAAGGCTAGACTGCAACTTTAAATTGGCTGTGGAGAAACCTGGTGGTCAATGTGTCACCAGATAATGGCGGTATTAATAAGGGAGAGGAGAAATGTCTCCATTGTTCTCAATCACCCTCTGACTCCCTCACTACAGAGCACAGAGAGAGAACCATGAGGACATAAAACCACCACTAGGCAAATGTGAGATATTCATCCACATCTACGACTCATTAAAAAAGCCTCATTCTAAATTATATTTTCTAACATAATGACCTTTTACCAATGCAGGTGATACATTAACTCCCTCTGACTGCACTGGCTACTAATTCAGATTCATCATATGCATCAGCCTTTCTGCACTTTTAACAATTTATCTTAATATATTTATTAAAATGTCACTAAAGTCAATGAAGAAAGTAATACTTAAACTAATTTCCTGCCCACCTCACTTCCTCAATATCTGTCGGGACTCTGAAGGGTTTAGTTTCATAGATTCGGAATAAGCCAGGATGGACTTGCAAGATTGTATCTGGGGGAATCACTAACAAACTGAGTGAGAGACAACAGAAGTCATAAAATAAAGCTCCACACTGGCTTGAAGCCTGCAATGTTTCTCCTCTTCAAATTCTTTCTTCTGCTACAGGAGACAAGAGGAAATCAGCTCACCGCCCTCTGAGTTTGTTTTTTCCTCTGGCTGTAAGAGTCCCTCAGATCCCGGGATAGACACTGTCCTTGTAGACCTGTCCATCCTGGCTTGTCCTTTCATTATTCACACTCCCTCTAGCTCAGCGATCAAAGAACAGATTCTTCAGGGAACCAACAGCCTCGTATCCAACAAAATCAACATCGATTATAAATCACACACTCTTCCATAACTTTGGGAACTACCTCACAGCAAGTATTTTGTGGTGACGGCAAAAAAAATGTATGTCTATGATATCATATCATATGTCATCATACGTACCCATAGCCTAAAATTTACATGGACATACTGTGAATTTTGTCCCAGACTTTACGTTACTAATTATCTAACTATAAAATTATGATCACAAATTGACTGTAAATACAGATGTATGTTCATTTCTTTACCTTTTTCTTTCTTTACTCTTGAAGCTCATTCCTCAAGTTGTTTTTTAGAAACTTTTACCAATACATGGGTTGATGTTTTTTATGTTGATGTTAACCCAAGAGATGTATAAAAAGATCAATACTTTTCTCATGTCTGTGGGTTACATACTGTATGAAGCTAGAGCCAGAAAGCGATTTATTAGCTTAGCTTAGCATAAAGAATGGAAGCATGGAGAAGCAGCTAGCTTGGCTCTAACACCTTTAAAGCTTGGTCATTAACTCGTTATATCCTGTTTAATTTGTACCAAAACCAACATTTAAAAAGAAGGTTTTACAGTGGGGTTACGTGCTGGAACTATTTATCACAGAGTATTGACTTTCTGCACACAGAAGAACACTTTCATAAAACCATAACTTTTTACATAACGAGTTCTTTACAGATGAAACAAACAAGATACAACGTGATAACTAGTGAGTTTCTGATTCTGGTAGGTGGATTTTGTTAACTTTGTAACAGAGAGCAGGGCTGTTTCCCCTTGCTTCCAATCTTAATGCTGAGTTAAGATAATCCTGGCTTTAGCTTCATATATAGCATACAGATGTGAAAGTGGCATCAGTTTTTTTTTCCAAAATGTCAATCTATTTTAGGAAAAGGTAAAGCTAATGGTAGAATAACCATCATGCACAATATATACAATATATAATAGGATTCAGATCGGAAGAACATACTTAACAGTTTTGTCTAAACACTGTGTGCATTCAACAAATGCTGTAGCATTTAAACACTAGGCTCCACAGCTTGTTGCCCCCGATTATATTTGAATTTATTAGACTTTCTTGTTTGTTGTATCAGTGCCAAAGCTTTTTGGCAGCGTGTTCCTGTTTGAAGTCCTTTGGGAGGACACGGTAACCTTTGTGCTTTATCAAATTATTATTTTTCCATTAACTTCAGTCACAACAATGCTGAAAACTGTATAATAAGAAGCTTTTTAATCAAGCACGTCAGCGTGATGATTTGTGTTTGCTCGTTCTTGTAGAAGCAGAATTGATTGAAAAGCTGCAAGATGGCATTTAGCTTCACTGGGAATCATTTGAATTACTAGGAAAAAGGTCATGGCACAAAAATAGCCTTTATTGATAGGTAAAATCAATTATATTAAGGCAACAGCAATACTAAGACTGACAGGCAGACTGAATGAGAGAATGAGCGCATAATTTGGTTTTTCTTGCTGGCTGATGTGAACTTCTTTGTAAAATAAATGCACAAAAGTAAGTAACGAAACAGGAAATGAATATGAAGGATTTCAGAAATGATTGGCATTGTCTTTGGCTGGATCACTGGACTTTGCATCCTCTGATTTGGAGCTCTGTTGAAACACAGAAACATACATAATGTAAACAGAAGGTTTCCTCTTTGTTATGGGTAAAAATGACATGATATATGTCCATGATGTTCATGGTGTAAAAATGTTCAAATAATACATGTCAATACATTTTTATTTAGCAGATTGTTTAGCAGACTGGAAAAACAGCTAACCTGGCTCTCTCCAAAGGTGAGATATCAGTTTGGATTAAACAAAATATAAAGTAGTGAGCTTTAGAAATGGTGGTAGGTGTATGTTTTATCTTTGGACAGAGCCAGACTAGCTGGTTACCCCTGTTTCCAGTCTTTATGCTAAGCCTCTTTTGGCTCTAGCTTCATATCTAGCATACAGACATTACATTACAATGGTTCTCTTCTTAATCTCAGCAAGGGTATAAGTGTATTACTAAAAAATTAACCAATCAGTCGCCAAACTAGTACAGATTCTTGATTGTCCACCTGATATAGCTCTATTAAACCTGTTCGTCTCACCTTGGACTTGAAGATGAGGTTAATGACACCCTTTGAGCGTCTGTCTGCTGTCCGGTCAGAAGTCCCAGAGACAGACATGCTCTTGCTGTCCCTCCTGATTCTGGGGGAGTCTACCTCCTCTGTGCCCCCCACCACTGCCAAGGACAGACCTACAGACAGAAACAACTTCAGTGTTTGTGTCTCACAGCTCACAATAAAACCTATTCCTCTCCCTGCTGATTTTGTGGAACTAATTGTGCTCTTGCAGCTGTTTTGGTGATGAACTGCGTGCTCTGACAACACCGGTGTTACTGTGTGCATGTTCAGTGAGGCTGTACAGCTTGTAGTCAGCAGTGCTAATAAGAGGAAATGTATAAACACTCCAGTCGAGGCTGGCTCAGCTGGCCTGGTCCAACATGGCAGGATGCCACAGAAACATCAGTGAATTGTGGCCTGATGCACTAGTCTAAAGTGCAGTATTAACTGAAACGAGGAAATATGAACTGGGTGAAACTGAAGCCCAGTTTTGAGAAAATTACAACCAACATGACCGATTCACTAATTTGCCACCTTACATCCAGAGTTTGTGTTAGGTCAGGCTATTAACAGCAACTCTCCCCAGACAGCCTGCCATAACCTTGTGTCTAGTTTTTTTTTTACAGTCAGAAAAAAACCCAGTGCCTTTTGTCAGGTCATGACTTTCTATTTTGACACTGTGGGCCCTTGGTTTTAAGGTGTAACTCAATTACAGTACACTATGCAGCCCCACATGGATTTGTGTGTCACCTGTGATGGCAGGCAGAGATCTGGAGTTGGCATTGGTCAATGACACATTTTCTTCATTTGGCTCAGCCAAGTTGGTGTCACTGCGGAACTCTTGTTTCTTGGACAGCTAGAGGGAGACAGAGATCACACAAAACTCAGCAACAATACACTTATACCACAGATAATCAGCTCCCTTACTTAAACATTCCTTAACATGCTGTCTTGTCACGTTTTCCCTCCCTTCTTTCTACCTTTCCTGATATTTTCTCCACTCTTATCCGATAATCTACCTCCCAATTAAAGCTTGTTCTCACCCGTTTGCAGTCCAGTGTATTTGTCCTTTCTCTTTCCTCTGTGATGAAGATCATGCTGCTCCTCTTCTTCTTCTTCTTACTCTTCCTCAGTTTGACCTCTGCGTCGCCCACTGTCACCACTCCGACTTCCTCCACTGTATTTACACTCACGCTGCCGCTGGAGCGCTGAAGGGTCCAGGAGGTCGGAGACTCAGGGGGGGCGTCCCTGGGAGGAGGCAGGAATGGTGTTATTAATACATTAAAGGGGTTTAATGTGGATTTTCATATCCAGGGGTTAAATTTATTAGAATATAGTGTATGTATGTATCCTGTAGATTTTGAGGTTCTCTTAACATTCCAAGGTCACTCGATACATGTATCTACCAACAGCTGTATGTATATGCTACCTGTCTGCATAAAGCTTGGTTGGAGTCCCACATTCAGATCCCTGCAGTGAGGAGATCGAGATGATGGATTGACGAATTGAGCGCAGCATGGAGCGAGGACGAGTAGACTTCCTTTCATCCATGTCCGGCTGGAAGTAGAGAGTTGAAAAATATCATATCCAGATAAAAGGACACTACTAGGACAGTGACAGTGAAACAAAGCAGAACATATTCAAAGAAAGCAAGAAAAGCAAAATCAAGGGAAGTTACTCTTAAAAACTGCACATCATCACTCCTACTAACCATTAGTTTAATCTCTCCTGAAGGGCAAAGCTAATTTACAAGTTAATGACCATATTTAGCCCCAGTCAGACCATCCAAACCCTGTTCTGGTTGTAGAGAAATCTAAAGGTACAAATCCCATATCAACACTCTACTTAGAGCCTTTTGTGAGTACTTTGATCTTTAAAATTCGCCTGGGTCAGCTAATTTGCAGCTTAATTAGCGCAGCTCTACCACAGACACTCTGTGTCCAGCCTTGCAGACAAGAACATGTTTTGGACTGTAGAGAAACACCATGTTTCAGTAAAAAGTGTCCTATTCTCATACTTTTCTTTCTTTTCCATCTCTCATAATTTTTTCCCAATTCTTACCAGCTCTCTCACTCCGTACTCCTTCTCTACTTTCTTCTTCAGCTGTTTGAAACACTCCTCCATGCGCTCGTGGAAAGGACGCAGGTCATCAGTCACTCTCTTCCCATGGAGAGAGATCCCTCCACCTAGTAATGGGATCTATAAATACAGATGTTATGGTGTCAAAAGAACATTCCCATAAAAGTGACACATTCAAGAATGTGTGTTGGTATGTTCAGTACCTGCCATGCGATGAGGTCTTTGAGGCGCAACAGTTTATCTTTGTCTTCTGGGTGCTGCTGATTGTACTCCTCGGTAAAGAACGCCTGATACAGATGATAATGAGATAATTTAAGGAACCACAGCTATACGTTTCACCTGCTCAGGCAGTTTGTAAATTAATAACTGACTTTTACACCCACATGTGCACTTTCAAAGCACACTAATCTTATCCTTCTTGGGATATTATAATGCTGAATGGTGTTTCAGGGTGAGCACTAATACTATTTTGAGTTATGAATCCACCAAATTATAATAAGTTCATTGCATTTAATATAATTTTGACTGATCAGATTCAGAGCCTCAGGAGGTGATACTGATTTCTGTGACTAAATTAATTCAAGTCAATTCATCATGAGATGAGTTTTGCAGTAAAGTCGTCTCTCAAGCTCAGATAACTTCATCGTAGAAAAAAAACAAAAAAGAATACTGAGATCATCATGGTGCCTTTTAAAATTCTACACACACAGACACAATAAATCAGTGCTTGTTTAGATAAAAATCAAGGCCACTGAGAGAAATATAAGCCAAAATCAATGTAAACTTGTTATAAGTGTAATAAACATAATGAGTTTTGAACTCTGCTGTACCTATACTTTTTTTTTTTTTTTTTAAAGAAAAACAATATGCAACATATAGCAATAAAGACCCATAACCATGGGTGTAATTTCTGATAATCAAACTCAGTTTTTTCACTGGGACCTTTATTTTCACTGGGACTTTTATTTAACTTCAATAGTACAATGGTCATTAACGGACCTATAAAAGTGTATTTGTGAGGGGCTATAAATTGGGGCTCATTCTGGGGCTCATTCTTTACAGTTTACCTTTTCATACTTGGCAAAGCCACCCATGACAGCTGGGTCCACAATGCCGTTGAGCAGCATTGAGAGGGGGTTGATGGGAAGGCTCCAGTCTGCCTGATATTGGTTAATCATGGTCAGAATCTTCTCATTGGTGGACTCCATGGTCTCTATGGCGTTCTCCAATGGAGACAAGGTGGTCTGAGTCCGAGTGGTACATAGAGCAGAGGGAAGGAGGAGAAAGAAATGGAAAAAAATAGGGAAGAAGGGTCGGATGAAGTAAAGGAGGAGGATTTTCAGGGTGGGAAGTAGGAGATTTTAGGACAAATTAGTACAAAAAACAAAGAAAAGGAATTTAATCAGTGGTGGTGAGATGGAGAAAACGTTACACAGGAGGCAACGTGGAGTGAAAACACAGACTCACATGTTTCATGTCAGTAGCCTCAAACCAGCGCAGGATCCCTGGTAGCTTATACACAGTGGTGAAGGTTGTGCGTTCAATCCACATAGACTGAAACACACAGATGGAGAGGAGGAAAACAGAAAGCAGTTAGATGAGCCTCGGCCACTTGTGAATAGTCGTAACATAATACCATATCTTGTATTAAAGTCTTAACTCTTTCCAGACATTTACTGCTGTTGAAGAAATAATTCTAAGTCCTGTTTAGTAGTTTGCTGATTTAATGGTATACTGGCTTACAGACACCAAGAGTGGGTCTGAGAAAGTAAGCCAACCAAGAACAATGACAGGATTTCACAGTTATACAGTGGACTAAAAAGTAGTGATCAGATACAGTACGCAAATACAGTCTCTTCAACTCTTGGTAGCAGCTATTGTACATGTACTCCAACAGAATCAGTAAACTCATTCTCTGACTTTCCATTAAAATAATGTCTTGTATTAAGAGTTAATTTTTTATCTACAATTCAATTCCAATTTCTTCAATTAACATTCTACACAGAAGTTACAAGTCATCTCTATCGGTGTAGGGGGAGTACATCAGATCCCTATAAGAATTAAATATATCTCTAAGTATTAGGAGAACAAATCATCTCTGGAAAAGAAAATCATTTCTTCAAACCAGTGCTGCATTTCTTTTTTGTGTTTTCTCTCTCTTATCTATCTTAAGGGCCATTTTGTGTACTTTTTTTTCTCACTGCACAATCTGGTTTCTAATCTTACATTACAATAATACCTCAATCTGATGTTGAATCTCAAGTCCTCATATACTGAATAAAATCCTATTATTTTATAGAGCAGGAACTCAGTGATAACAATGCAAGTACACACTAGCTTCTGAAAGACTTTCATGGTCCCTGTGGTCATAAATCATTCCACTGAAAAAAAAGTTACTTACAGCAAACTCATTGTTGGGGTCCACAGGTCCTTTCCTCACAGGTCTGGAATAGTGAAAACGCTGCACGTAGTTGGACTTGTAGAAGCTGCAAATGGCATAAGAAGAGGGAGACAAAGGTTAATGTCAAACAAAGGAATTACAAGTTTGCAAAAAGAGGGAAATTACATTATCAGAATTGCCTGTTCGTTTTCAATGTCTATCATTTCACAGACACACATTTCGCTTTATGAAAATATGATGACTGACTTGATAATCTGGTCAGGAACAGGTTTGTTCTTCAGGCGAAGAGGAATCTCGAGGACTGGCTGCACTGTGAAACACTGAATATCTGGTTCAGATTACTCAGGAATTAAACATCACAACATGATGGAGAGTATCTCTGCATCTCTGTGTCAGAAGGTACAAACCGATGGCCCAGCGGCTGGGTTGTAATATAAAGAGGTAGCTACAACAAAAGTAAACAAGAATTAAATTTAGGTCCGGATACTGTCTGGATCTGATGTCCGGGCAAGTTTTATTGTGTTTCTGGGTAAAAGGTCCCCTGATATCTCCTTCTGGAAAATCCTGGATCTAAGTTGATCTTATCATTTACTTTGAGATTTGTTTGACTTCTTCAGCAGCCCAAATAATAATCCCAAAGATACTTTGATTGTGCTTTGCTACACTTTACTTGTGTAGACTACAGACTGTGTATATTGTTAATATTTAAATGTTTTTTATGTTCACATGTGTGTTTTGCTGCCAGAAGGATACACTGAAGTGGAGAGTTCCTGATATCGTCTCCTGGAATGGTGGTGGTGTTGAGGCGCACGGCGCTGGGGAACTGGCTCATGAGCTGGTTCTGAAAGTCCTCTCTGCGTTCATACTCCTTGCCACGGTGGATAAACACCTTGTTCTGAATACAGAGGAAATTAATTGGTGTTAATAATGATAATGAAAATGCTGCATGGAAACTGAAAGCTGCTTCTGTGTGTTTGATTCTGACCCTGGGGACAGTGAGCAAACTTGCCCCAGATGATCTAAGAGCTCTGGATGATTCATAAAAGAGGAGCATATCAGAGATGTATTTTGGCCCAAAACCATTCAGGGCTTTGACAGACAATAATAATATTTTCACATCAATTCTCTGACGCATGGGAAGCCAGTGCAATGCTCTGAAAACTGGGGTGAAGTATTCCACTGTCACAGCATTCTGAATAAGCTGCAGCTGTCTGATTGATTTTTTTTTTACAGAGACATGTTTCTCTAAGTCTTGTTGATACATGATTCCTTTAAGTCTTGCTATATTTTTAAGGTGGTAGTAGACGATTTTGTAATTCTGTTGACGTGGATTTTGAAATTTACACAGAGACTTTACCATTGTCTGCATTTAAATAGATGTTGCAGTCTCAGTGCTGTGGTTGAAATCCAAGGCACAAAAATGGGCTTGTGCCTGGCCTCCATTCACTGCCCTGCTCTGCTCCCCCAAGAACTGAGTCACTGACTTTGTCATACTCCTTACCACAGCAGATTAACACATCTAATGAATACAGGAGCTATAAACAGTGGAATATTTTATTTTTGTGGTTTGCTAAAAACCACAAATCCACAATGTTCCCATAAGGTTCTTTATGTCCCATTCTGTTAACTGTCTTGCTGGTGTGTCTAGAAACTTGTACACTGCTGCAATTTTAAACAGCATAGCTTCAGTGCTGAGGTTTTTTTTTTTTTACCCCTTTGCACTAGTTAGGGGGTCTTTGTGTTACTTACTCATAACGTGGATCTGTGTACTTCTACTCAATGAACAATTAGAATATTTTATGTAATGATATTTATTCTCAGCAAACAGTAACAAACACATACCCTGAGGAATGGAGGGTAGCCCTGTCCATAGTAGCCCACTGCAAAGTAGTCAGGCTTTGGCCTCAGGATCTTCATAATGTTCTCATAGAACCTGGCTTGTTTTTCCTGCAGAGAGAGAGAGACAAAGAGAGAAAGAGAGGATGAGTTCAGGGAAGAGTTTCAGATGTACACTGGGTGCAGCCATAGCAGTTTTACCAGCTCACGCCAATGACAAAGCTACCCTCAGCAGAATGCAGGGCCTTTGAGGGTGATAGATGTAGAAAAAATAAAGTGCACGGCATCCAAGGGCGATGTCTGTCATTTATATAACCACATAAATTCAGCATTAGCTGAGAGAGCCACTGCTGCAGTCATATAAAGAGAGAGATTTTTCCATTGTTGGGAAAAAAGTGTAATTCTCTGTGGGGAGGGGAAGAAGAAGAGTTAAACGAAGGGGAGATAGAGGAGGAGGTGGTGCTAAAGAACAAGTTAGGATTCGAGTATCACTTCTGCTGTGGTGCTAAGGCAAGAGATGAAAGAAAAGTGATTGAAAGGACAAAGTAAAAAGGAGTTAGGAGGGGTTTGAAGTTGCTGATGATTGGCAATGAACAATCACACTTTTGGGGTCATATGGTAATTGTGGAAGCTCAAACCACAGTTCTTCAGAAAAAGACCAATTTAAAAGGAGGATTTGAAGTGTCAAGTAAGTATTCATTTTTGAATGTGTATTAATGGTTGTGCTGAATCGTTGGTAATGTTTGAGAGTGCAGATGACTAATTTAGTGTGGAAACTGCTTATTGAGAACAATTTGGATAAGAAAACGTATTACTCTGAGCTATTCAGAGCTCACAGACAGGCTGTTAGTCTTTTTGCCTGGATTTGGTTTTACTGTATAACGGCCAAAGACCAAACCAAACTATTACTTGCATATTAAATTTAACAAGAGTTTGGTAAACAACAGCTCCACTGTAAGTGAGCTATAGTTACTGCTTCTATCAAAAACTTGAATAAATTGCCTGAATTCTCTTCCTTTACTTCAAACACCCCCTATCACTCAAGAACATCTGTAAGATCTACAAAGAGAATTCAAGGGAGAAGGCTGTGAGAGGAAAACACAGAAAAAGATGTAAGATCATGATTATTGTGCAGAAGATACAATATGAAAGTTTGAGATAGTCATGTATTACCAGTCTCTTGCTGAGTAATTCGTAGTCAAAGATCTCGTTTTCGTACTGATCAGCTAGTTCCTTACACAGAGTGATGGCCTCTTCCCACATCTAAACACACACACACACACACACAAGGAAACAAAGAAGTGTCCTTTATTACACCATCTGCTAAATTGGCAGCAGCTGTCGTGGTGGGAATTCATCTCGTGAAAATATCCAGGTCTCTGGAGAGTGGAGGGAAATGTCTCTATCACTGCTTCAAAGAACACAAAGAACTCGTTGAGAATACAAAATGAACGTGACATCAACATACTGTTAAAAACTATGACTGCATGATTGCAACACTGCCGCATCCCTAAAAGACACTGAACGTGTGATACTGGAGTGGAACATTTTCCAAAATAAAAGTCTGTGCATTCAGTTTTGATTTTATGGGCTTTTGCTTATCCCAAAGTAAAAAAATATATTCATAATGTACCATGTTTTTCTGAAAGGAATTCAGAAACTTATGCTAATTGCCTAGGCAATACTTTCTCCAGAGTTACTATAATTGATTTTGGAGCATTGATCAAAACATTTCAAATAATGTATTATTCTATTAAGGCATCATAAGGAAAGGAGCATGTCGTAGTCTAAAACAATGCTGACCTTGCCCTTGTCGAAGTAGTCAATGATGGTGTCGTAGAGCGTTTCCTTGAGCTGCCGTTGGGTTTGGGAGCCGCGGGACTCAAACTGGGGGCTACACATCTCATCTGACCACTGGAATGGAGAAAGGATGGAAGACACAGAGGCAAAAAGTAAGATACAGTATGTATATTTTTTTATTGCTGAAACTAAAGGAATAAAAGTTGCAGTCAGACCAACACTGCTTTTTACTGTCCCATTTATCATGATGTTGAAACAAGAGAGAAGAACATAAAGCTTAGAGTTTCTTTGTTGTAATAAATCAATATTAAGCAGAGTGTGCACAAAAGCACAATGCTCATTTATTATATAAATGAGAAAACAGCTAATCTTCTGCTACATAAATTACACAGACATTAATTTAGAAACCAAACAAAAAAATACATAGTGATCTTCAAAACTGACTTATATTATTGGAACAGTTCTATCTGATAAGGAAAGTGGAGATGAAGAGGATTGGAGCTGTGCATTACAGCCCGCTATTTCCAATAATGTGAAACGGGCTGACAGGACTGACACTGGCGATAAATGGAGATTATAAAAAACATTATAGAGTTCAACTTATTTGATGTAGTGATACTAGATCGAAAGAGGAGGAGAGCGAGATGCCCCTCTTTCCTCTGTCCCTCTCTGGGAGCCTCTAAGTGTCTCATAAAAGAGATGAAAAGACAAATGAGGTCAAACACACTCAGACACATGCATGGGCACACAAACCTGCACACACTCACGCTTGCTGCATCAATCACCATAGTGATGAAGCCACAGTGGCCCATGCCATGCCATAAACTCACCTCGGAGCTTCATCATTTGAAGGCCAGAGACATAGCAACCATTTATCAGCTAATAAAAAAACTGTCTCACTCGTGGCAGACAGACAAATTAATTAGGCAGAGCAAGACACCGGGTCCAGCAACAACAAAATATCTCTTTATAAGCCGGCATGTGTGTCCTACCTTGAGCAGGCGAGAGTGGAGCAGCAGCGTGTATGCTGCCTCTGTGTAGTTTTCACCCTCCAGGTGAAGGTCCCTCAACTTGTAAAGGTACCTGAGCACACACAAACAGTTACAGAGGTCAAGTGAAATTTAATATGCAACTTATATATCACTCCACTAGATGCCACTGTTGGGCAACTTGGAGAAGGCAAATGAATTAATCACGTCTGTCACCGTGTCATTCATTCTGTCTCTTTCATATACGTACACATATGCTCACACACACCTCTACATACCCATAACACAACACAGAAAGGTCATTCAAGAGCGCACACATGCATACACACAAAAGCACAATTCACTGCATGTGTTTTTAATGGTGTGACAGATGTTTTGTAGCCCAGTAATGTTTTATAAGCCTGACACGGAGGAAAATGGGAACATCAGGCTGCAATGAGCCAATTCGCTGCTTCTGTCTCTAGTTTTGATCCTGTTCTGTGTCTTTCTCCTTCTGTCTGAAGAAAACATTATACCACTTGGCCAGAGGCTGGAGGCTTTCTAAGGTATTGATGACAAAGTGCTGAACTGGCTTCCAGATTCTTCTACACGAACAACCCCCTGTATGCTTGGGCAGTACGATTGCACTCTGAAGTCGATCGTTCATTCTGTCTAGCTAAATGTTGAAGGGCCATACTTTCTTTAAAAAATAAAAAAAAATCTCATCTCCAACTATGTCATTCCTCTTACTTTTAACCAACTCGATCATATTCCCATCATTTTCTGACTGGAGAGTCTGCCTGCTCTGTTGGTCATGACAATCCAATTGCTGTTGACAGAGTGAATCAACAAACATTCAATCCTTCTCTTGCTCTCCAGAGTAAATCTAAACGTTCATCTACTTGTTTGTTTGACTGTTGTCTCTCCACCCTTCTGTGACTCTTCCTGTTTTCTTTCTCACTTTCACAGACTGCACCCTTGCCTCACTTCCTTCCTCCCTCTCTGAGTGGCACAGTCTTTTCACCACTGATGTGGTGAGAGCTTTTCATTCTTCTATACCACGGTGTGAGGAAAAGTATTGTACAATTTATCGTAAAAAGGAAGTTTGTAGAATTCATCTTTTAATTTCACCCTCTAATTAATTAAATAAAATTAAGGTTATATTACTACTGAAAGGTAACATTGGCCAAGGTGTGCTTAAACTGTCTCTATCACCCATATAGAGAGTTATATTCATAAGATTTTGATTATGTAGTGTGTGACAAAATATTACATTCCAAAAACGTCAGTATACAAAAAAATGCGGTATTTTTTTGTGTGCTTCATTGTAACGCATGAAAGGAATGGAGGTGATACTCACAGCTGTAATACATTAAAATAATTTGTGTTTTCTAGTCAAACAGCTCCATGAAGAGAAGCAAAAAATGAAATATGTGTTTGGAAAACCATTTTGCTTTTTGTGATGTTTGGCAGCAGTATCCTAAAGATGTAACTTGACTGACGTTTGACGAAGTTGTTGGTGCAAAAGAATAAATAATGTTGAATTCTTGTAGACTAAAAACACACTGTAAAGATTAATATATAGATCATATGGTATATACTTATATATTATGGAATTGGGGGCAGAACGACACACTTTTAGACTTTGCTGTGTTTACAAATAAAATAATCTGGAAAAAACGTACTTAAAGGAGTTCAGTGAAGTGAGTTTTTGTATGTTCAACTTTATTTTCCATATTAAACTTTATTGTATATTGGGTATGTGTTTTATATATTCTAGATTTTGATTATATTTTTATTTTTCATGATATCTTTTATTTTATTTTATTTTTAATTTATTATATTTGCTGTTTAAGAACATTTCCCCTGTGCCGCTGTGCCTAACTTAAATTTCTCCTACAGGGATCAATAAAGGAACATCTTATCTTATCTTAGCTTTTTTTTTAACTCGTAACATTGCCGAATGGAGTTTCATAATGTACTATACAGTTAATATTGCTGGATTCTGTTGTGGATGGCAGCATTAAGGTAATTCTGAATGAGTGGGCCATGAAAATTAATTATCTTGACTGAAAAAAATGACTTATTTATTAATAAAGGTTCAGTGTGTTTAACATAACTACAGGTAACATTAAAGATGAGGAAATATTCAGGAGTCATGTGAGCATTTTAGTAATTCATCTGCAGATTTAATGTTCCAGAATTCCCACACTGGGCCACAACAATTAGTTGTTTTATTATCCATGCATGGCCTGTAGTAATATAGCTAGATCTTTGTGTACGATAACATTCTGGCTTATTATAGAACACATACATAGAGCCTAAATGTGTATTTGCATTAAACTATCTTTGTTTGCTAACATTAACCAGTGAGCCGGCCAAATATTGCCATATTCTCCACTGGATAGACGCAGGCAGCTGATCAACCACAGAGCTCACATTCACACATACAGATAACTAATTATGTCTATAAGCCATTGCCAGAAATGCACTGTGGGACCTGACTGGATCTGTATTCTCTCTCTCTCTCTCTCTCTCTCTCTCTCTCTCTCTCCTCTGCCATCATCCTGTCTTCCTCCATCTCTTCTCCACCTCTCCCTCCCTCGTGCCCATCATGTCTCTCTTTCTCTCTGCTCACCCTCCAGTCAGACCAAGAGCTGATCCTGTGGATTTTGACATTAATTCAGTGGGACTCATATAATCCCTTGTCAGATTATGGAGCCACACACACACACACACACCAAACACACACACACACACACACACACACACACACACACACACACACACACACACACACACACACACACACACACACACACACACACACACACACACACACACACACACACACACACACACACACACACACACACGTTCAGAAAAATACATGCATGCACATACAACACAGACATGCACCATAAATCATCACGTAAATACCTGATATACATCCCTTCACGATTGATGTCCTTGTAAAAGTTCTGCAAAATAAAAAGGACAAGTTGGGTTAGTGTCTGCGGGTGTGTCTGTGTGCATATACATATAGGTGCGTGCATGTGACAAATTCTCACGCACAGCACTGACTGGAAGTTTTTAATTTTGCATTTGTGTGGCCGAGAGTTCGCCTATATGGCTGTATGTGTGTGTTACGTGTGTTATACTTTACTTCTGATTGCCTGTGTGTAATAATGTGTGGGAGTCTGTGCATGCGCATTTGTTCGTTAAGCAGCATAAACTCCCAGTTTAATGAAGTTTAATGACATCTACAGAGAATAGAGGAGTGGAACGAACTGATGTAACCCCACCTCCCACCACCAGCATGAGCCAGCAGACACAATAATACACACTCGCACACACACACAATCACAAATATGAAAACAAAACAAGCTCAATTACTGTGAGATCCACTGTGAAGCCAAAGCATACTGTAGTAATATTTATATCTACTTGCTTTATTTATTTTTGCAAAGGTCAGACACATTATTGTTTGCATCAGTGCTTTTTAACTTAAGTAAGCCAATTTCCTGCTGCCGGCTAGCCCATCTACATGAAGGTCAATCTTCGCCTTTCACACATCTTCTGAAAATACGACATAGTCAAACTACAGTATCACCTTCTATGCACCTTTTAAAAATAACAATACACCAAGTGGCAGCTGTTTAAAAATCCCCGTTCTTATATATATATATATATATATATATATATATAATATGGAGGAAGTGATATCTACCAACATGCTTATATGAACAGATGAAAGCGTCCCTAGCTCGAGGCTAGCAGAGGTTACTTTAGCCTGAGCAGTGTGTATGTGTCTGTATGTTTGTGAATGTGTACAAGAGTATTTGATTTTCTTTGAAAGTGTATCGGCATGAGGAAGTAGAGCAAATATGTGATTGTGTGTGCAAGTGTGTGTACTTCCTAAGTGAGACTTCCTATAGTGCCTGCTAGCCTGCAGAAGGGATTTTAAGCTGGCTAAACAAATGAAAGAGAATTGCTAATGGGCAGCTGCCAGAGGCTACAAGCTAAACACCTCTGCCACGTGCCAGCAGCCTGCCCTCCTCAGGGAGAAAATAACACATTATAAAGACACAAATAGACTCGCTTCCATTTAGGATTAACTGATCCTCCTAAACTTTAGCGTTTTAGAAATGTCTTCAACAAGGAAAATTCTAGGAAAGAATTCAAATAAAAAACTATGCATAAAAAAAGAAGGAAGACACCGTTAAGAGGTGGAATTATATGATTTAATCTGCTGTGGAGACGATCATATGGCGAGTAGATGGGATCCGTTACTAAACCTGAGAATACCGTGGGGGAGAATCTGATTAGGAGATCACATAAGAGAAAGGATGTGGAACAGACAGGAGCTGATGCAACCCTTTGCAAACAGTCAGAGACCAGACACAGAGATGAGTCTTTTTCTTTAGATCAACCAGCCCACAAATTAAATGTGGTAAAGGAATACAAAGACTTTAGCAGGAAAGATAAGACATAAAATCAGTGTTTCATAATGAACTCTTCAGTCAGTGTGGCTCTTTTGGTAGGGGATGAGATTATTGACTGAGGGCAGTATGGAACAAACTCACGTAATAGTCTCTTCTTACATTAGCCTTTAATTAATAATGAGTTTATTGACGTGTATGTATCTGAGATCAGCACCTCTTTGCTGTGGGATTCAATACTACAGTACACGAATCACAAGGTTAGTGTCAATAAATGCAAATCCATGGTGATACATGCCAGATTCACAGCATACGGGAACCACAGAGCATCAATTAAACATGAAAAAACCAAAAATGATGAATGAAAGATGAAATTCACATGGAGGAAAGGCTCACAGCAATATGATGAAATTCCAAAAAAGCCCGGATTATGTAACTTTTATACTAAATAACAGCTTTAAAATCATTTTGATGCTACACTGACCTGTAATTGGATGAATTGTGCTGTCATTCCGGGTCTGGACAAGTGCGTAATGCTTTACGGCACTAAGTCACACACCACATACTATGTCACTCATTTTGATATACTATTTTATTGAGAAAATATTTTCCAGTTTTCCCTCTGATATGCTACTGCTGCTCCGCCGCAAGCCTCTGGGATTTACAGAGTTTGTTGATGGACAGTAAAGTAACTGCTACAAAATGTCTGGCGAGGGGGCAATGTAACCGGGCTCAGCGGCATTTGTGGAGATGGCAAAGGCTAAGAGATTCAAGAGGACGACAGAGAAAGCTAATAAAAGAAAGGAGAGAGAGAGAGAGAGTGACTGAATAAATATCAGATTGACTTTTAGTCGTAAGTGAGAGCTTAGTGAAATAAAAGGCTGCAGACAGACGGCGAACTAGTCTTCTTGCTGTTGGACTAGTAAGTAATAATAGCTGGCTTTGAATATCAAATCGTATGTAGTGTTACTTTAAGAAAGTCCCTTTGAACACTTTTGTTGTGGAGAAGGAATATAAAACGCCCACAGCAATGTAAAGGACCAGCCTAGGACAACTCAGCCAGATAAGTTTCAAAGAAGGTGGGACTTACCAGCAGATTGACAGTGCAGCTCATGCGGTTGTTGCGGCTGTCGTCGCTCATCACAGTGCGGTAGTCAAGGAGACGGATGAGGAGTCCCTTCACCAAGGCAACAAAGTGCTGCACGTGTGTCTTCAATGTGGGTTTCTCGGCAGCGCAGTCCAGCAGGCTGTCATACAGACGAGCATCCCCAAGTTAATCATCAGAGAATTCTGTTTTGATACGAAGTGCTTAAGTGCTTTGTGGTTTTGTGAATGTATTGCTGAGAGACCAATGTGTCAAAAGTGGACTTTTTGAGGGTCAGCAGGAAATGTATTCTTAGAAGTTATTTAGACAGTAGAAAAAGCCATGCCAAAGATTTATACTGTGTAATATAATATACATAAACATCAATATCACTTTACTGCAATTGTACTTGTTTATATACTTGTCAAGCATTATTGGCTGCTGTAATTGTGGTATATTCTAATACTCGGCCTACATGGTCTCCAGTAGTTGCATGTATCGCTCGTCTCCTCCTCCACCCTCCACCTCGTGGTCCAACTTCAGAATGATCTCATTCTCAAACTGCAGATGAAAAGAGAGAGGAAGAGCAAGCAAAGAGGGAGAACAAAGGGAGAAAAGAAAGCACATGAAAGGAGGAACAAGAAGAAATCAATTATGCAAGCATAATTAAGGTGTCTCTTTTACTTTAATGTGCAGCGTCACAGGAAACCAATAGAAGAGCACAATGCTTTTCTGTGCAAGTGTGGCTTTTGTGTGTGCAAATGTAAATCTTCAGATGCTCTGTGTGAACACTTCTGCACACACAGATATAAAAGGTTCACACATTTCTGTTATACATACTGAAATGTCCACTGCAATGTGCGAACATCAGTCATACAGAAATGTGTGCGTTTTTACCTTGTGGAAGTTTCCAGAGTGTGCATTTTCACAAGTGATCATGTCAAAGAAAATGGGAATGGTGGCCCTTCTCAACTCCTCCTCCGGGATCAAAGTCATCTCCAGGATAGGACCCACCATGCCGGGAATGAAACAGATCTTGTGACTGCCTAAAAGACACACCCACAAAATCAAAAGGACAAAATCATATGTGATCCAACATTTGCCTCCACAAGTGTTCCACAGGTTTCTGTTACGAAAATATCCAAGTTTTCTCAATATGCAATATAGACTTCTTATCTTCAGAATATATTGTTGAATATAATATGTTTAATTTGATGTCTGTTTATATGTATATATATATGTAAAAGGGTGATGACATTGAGAATAATTATTAGCATGCCGTAACCAAACAAACAAACAAACTCACATTTTTGCCTACCAAGAAGCAGCAGGCAACCATACTAAACTAAATGTTCTTACCTAGTTTGTACCAGATATCACGTATAGCAAAGCCAATGAGCCGTCTCATGTCTCCATATCTGAAAAGAAGAGAAATCAGCCCATTCATTAGGAAACAATGGCTTGGTCAATACTGTTATTTTCACCTTCAGAAACTGAAGAGCCCAGTGGAAGAGATAACACTGCACTAATCTGCCTGAACATGAACTAAATTGAATGTCTATCTACAGGCACCACGCGGTTTTAATAGGCAGTGGGAGCGTAAACGTAAATGACTCCAAAATAGATCACAAATCACTGAGTGTTTCATTAGAGCAGGAGAGAGAATGTATGGTAAATAAGGAAATTATATTGCTCTTCTCTCACTTGGCCAGAATCTTGTTCCTCTTGGTTGGCGAGAAATGCTGAAGCTGCAGAGACTCCTGGGTAATAAACGCCACCGCCAAGTGGAAATAGTTATTCCACAACTAGACAAGGAGGAAAAGTGGGGAAGAGGGGGGTTGTGGAGAGAGACAATAGATAACGATATTGAAATTAGTACAAGCAAAATACACAAGACGCTGTCGATATGAAACTAAGCCTGTAAACACATACAAACACACTTACCTGTACTTCAAAGTCGTCGTTATTGAGGAACTTTTGGTTCATAGTGTCTGCATAGGTATTGATGGCTCTCAGGAACACTCTAACAGACAGAGACACACATTTATTAAACACACAACCAAACACACCAATAAAGTAGAACTGTATAAAGTGAAATGGAAATCAGTGCTGCAAAAAATATTTTCCTTGTGCAGTAGTTTGATTGTTGATGAATGATTAATAAATCGAAAACAACCTTAGGCAAACAGTAATGTTTAAGAATAAATAAAAGAGAATCTATCAATGATCTATCAATGTTTGTCAAAGAATTTCAGCTTTGAAAGCTGTGCTATCTCTTAGACAGACAAGACTGTAATATTGCTTTAGATTCAAAACTTCTGTCACAATGACAGATCATGATAGCAACTTCACACAGTGTGCCAGTATATCACTGAGTTGTGAGTCTGTGCATTTCTAAAGTTAAGCAGCATATCTGCTCTGTGTTTCTGCTTCAACACTATCTATCATCGTTATTCAGAGCCGAATAACTCCCTCACCTCCTTCTTTCTTTTCTTTCTTTCTTTCTTTCTCTACCTGCACATCTCTTCCCTATCGCCACTCTGCAAATTCCTTATCAAGCTGTCTTTTCCTCTCCCTCACTCTCACTTTGACCTATTTGCCTTTTTTCTTCCTCTGACACAGCTGTAGCCTCCCCTCTAGCTTACTTCACACAAAATACATCTATGGCTTTCACTCCATCAGCTCACATACACAAACACATTTGTCATATCAGCTTTTTTCATCATTGCAACCCTGATCCCAGCTTTACTATCTCTATCTTATCCCTGTGTGGGTTTGTGCGGATGCACTAGTCTCTGTGGATGCCAGACAATCCTTTAAAATTCACATACACAGCACCTCAATGTTCCAATAGCAGGTCGTACTGGGGCAGTTGTGGCCTATTAAGTTAGAGAAGCAGGCCTGGGACTGTATGTGTATGGTTGTAGTATAGTACCTGTTCTGTACCATGATCATGGCCATCCAGTCAGAGGGATACACATGTTTCCCAATCAGGTCCTTGAAAAGCAGGAAGGACTCCATCAGGAAGTCCTGTAGTGATAAGGGGAAGAGAAGGAGAAGGATATATATATATCTTCATCCAATACAGTTTGAGACAGTTTTGAGACATCTGCAGGTGTGTATGTGTGCACTTACCACTAGTTCAGGGCTTCCACTGAAGGTTTCTATGTATGTAGCATAGTGACGATCATCCATCTGACTGAGGATAGCTGTCATGCAGGCTACCACCCTGGACTACGAAGGTTGTGAGTGTGGGAGAGAGAAAAGGAGAGAGAGAGAGCGAGAGAGAGAGATGCGCCATTACTTTTGGGGCACTGTGCAGCTGCTCTTAGACTGAGTACTATATATCTAAAGCCAAAGACATTGAAATCTCTTAAAGTAATTTGCTGCTGCACCATGTCTAAGGCTGCCTAAAGAGAATTTCAAATAAAACCTCTCCTGTCATTTGCTAATTTGAGCTACAATTTATGCTGAGGTCCACACAGCTTCAACATCGTCACATGCTGCTGCCATGACCTGGAACAAAAGGGCAGCGCTCTGAGCAAGTAAAATTGTTGTGATGTTATTTTTAAAAATGCAGCATGCATCAACTAGTCGTTACTCCCATGTTATTCACAAATTAGCGTAATTATTATAAACATAACCTCTGCCAGGAAGACTGGCAGCCTCTGCAGTTTCTAAATTGTTTTCTATAGTTTAAATTGTGGCCCTCTGCCACTAGGTAAGATTAAAAAAAAAACATTCAAAATTTCTGTATAACACAAATTAAAAGCTTCCAATGTTCCCTGTGACAGCAAATGGTAAAAGGTGTGAAAGGCTTAAAGAAATCACTTTTAACATGTGTAATTTGATTAACCTTTTGTAAAGAAAGAGTAAACACCCTGACATATATTACACAGAGCAACAGCAAAGAGAATAGTTTTGAATAAACACTAGTGTCCCACGCCAGATGAGGTGAACTTCAATGTCAACACAAAGGAGAAGACATTTTATACAGTGTGATTTTATGGCATAGTAAAAACAAGATATCAAAAAATCATATCATACAAAACAATGTACAATATAAAACACAACAAACGAAGCTCCTGATTTCAGTTTTTAATGAGGTATTAACTCCCCAGTATGTGCACTTCATTCTGAATAATACCAGTAACAATAAAACTCACAGAGAGACTGGTAATAAGAAAAATTAGAAATGGAGGATGAAAGTGATGGATAGTCAAGAGACAAGAGGAGGAAGATGGAAACAGCACTATTATCACTGTGAAAGAAAGACAGACATGAAAGATGAGGATAGGTAAGAAAAAGTTTCAAGTTTTAAGTGTGTAAACATTACTTATTCTGCGAAAAATCTCCACGAGCTGGATTAAAGCACACAATTTATGGAAATTTTGTACAAACCTTCCCACAAACAGAGGCAGCGAGGGGGGAGACACTGAGAGGGGAGATGGGCAGCAAAAGAGAAGAAAACAGAGAAGAAAAGAACAAAGACTGACCTACACTGACCAGAAGAAAACAGAAATAACCAACGGCAAGAATGCAAAAATATATCCCATGGTACTAACCCTTCGAGTGCTAACATATTGATTGGTTGGTCTAGCCAAATTCAGGTTAGCTACTGCCAGTGCCTTCCACTCCACCTGTTTGTCTGATGTAACTTTCTTAATTATTTCTCTCTCTTCCCTTTGTATTTTTTGTCCAGTTAATAAAATTAGGTTCTATTGAGAACCTAAAATGAAACATGGTTAAACTTACATTGAACATTTCTCTGGAAAATAAACATAAACATAGGAAAAATTGACAATGACAAACGACCTACAAAACATAAAGTGGCCCTGTTACTTTTGTTATTTTTCTCTTTCAATGTCCCCACTTTCTTCTTTCAATCTGCCTCTTTATTTTCATTTCTTGAGCTGTCCATAAACAAGTAGGCACAACTGTCACAGCAATGAAAGTCAGCATGTTGAGCCTGAAAGTGGCTGGGTGAACCTCATGGAGACCAGGAGGAATCTGATTCATAAAGAGCACACTGTTAATATCCAGTGTTCTACATTGACGTTCTCTGATCCTTCCCTCTGCTGTGCATAAGCTCACAAACCTTTTTCAGAAACATGGCAGCTGTACAGGTACATCTGTCAAGGTTTGGGTGAAATTATTCTCCAGAGTTGGTGGCAGAAAAGGGAAACACGAGACAGAGATGAAGGATGATGGATGGCTAATTGAAGATGAAAGATGTATGGTAAAAGTGGTGACTGCTTTCATCTGATCCAAATGTGAAGGGTGTGTGTTTGTGTGTGTGTTTGTGCTGTATACTAATAAGAAAACATACTTTTTGAGTAACATATGCAAACAAAAACATATTTTCACTGTGTATAGTTGTAGTGCAAATGTAAAGGCGCGCGCGCACACACACACACACACACACACACACACACACACACACACACACGCACACACATGCACACGCACACACACGCACACACACATGCACACGCACACACACATTGGTAAAGGAAGGGTTTTCAGTTGGACTGAGTGTTCTTGGATGTGTGAGTGTTTGAGCTCAGTGCATAACCACCCCCATCCTCCACACAACTTTCTTCTTACAGTTTGGTGACACCAGAAACCTTTAATCTCTCTTCCCTTCTTTCCCTCTTCTCTTTTACTCCCTCATGTTCCCATCACATGATCCACCCTTGAAAGTACTTAGAGATGAATTTGGTGTGGCACTAAAGTAGTGAGTAAGTAAGTACTGTAAGGAACAGTTCCAAAATTGAGGGAGCAAGGTTTAGATTGTCCTTCAAATTAACAATGAAAAATACTGCTAGTTACAGTTTTCCTGACATTATAGCAGGCATTTAAATGATCTAATTACACTATAGTAAATGGAAAGAAAAACACCCCATGAGGCAGACACTAACAGACAGGAGCAACTAGCAAAATTTACTTTAACTCTAAATCTCTTTCTACTTCTCAACCTCCCTCTCTCTCTTCCTCCTTTGCCTCCTAAGTGTGTAATGGTTGATCAAATAGGATTAAGAACACACACACACACACACACACACACACACACACACACACACACACACACGAAAACAGTTCAGTACTTTCTGGTTCCATGTTCCCTGTGCCTGTGTGTGTGTGTGTTGAAGTGTAGGTCATGTGTCGTATTGCCCTACTTAAGTGTAATTGTCTCCTCTGAGGACTTATGGTCTCAATCTCCCTTAACACCATCTAAAACACAGACAAATATAAAATGTTCGAAGGGCCAAATATCTGACCATCCACTGTCCGTGTCCTCACACATGAATGTGTTTCATCAACACATTGCATGGCATGCAAAGACATATGCAAGACATATAATCCTTGGGCATATTGATTAAACTACGGACTAATACAGTGTGTGTGACAGAGAGAGAGAGAGAGAAAGTGAGCTCAGAGTTGGTTGAGGCAAAGGCCTTACGCAACAGTGAAGAGATTACTGACAAAACAGGACACAGATGCTGACGAGGTCTGGGATTTCTCTCCCTTCCCCCGCCTCCTCCTCTCTCCTTCCCTTTCCCTCGATTTATCTATCCAGTCTCTCACTCTTGCCACTCAAGTTAATAATGTATAAGCAGCTGTAATTTCAGAGTTGCATCACAATGACAGTTACCTAAAAAAAAATGCACCTGCACCACTTGAAATAAATCTAAACTAAGGCTCGCTGGGAATCACTTTAAGCTGCAATGTTCATTACGCTCCACAGTACAAAAGTGTTGAGTTAAAAATATACTATTTGTTTTGAAGGTGGGGCAAGAGAAAAGGTCACAGGGTCGTTAAAATCAAAATGTTCAACACCTCGAGCAGCAGTTTGAATACAGAGATCTGCTGACTGATTTATACAATTCTGTCATTACTGTGGTGGCAGAATCAAACTTAACACTTTCATTGTCAAAGAAAGCAGAGATATTTGCATTTGTCACAGTCGGCAATTAAACCCTCTGACAGATTTAAGCAGTTAAAAACATTAATGTCGACCTACACAGTCTGAATGTAAAAGTTCTGTGTAGTATTTAAACCCAGCTGGCATTACCTGCCTGCTTATTATTATAAAAAAATAAATAATCTCGGATTTCTTCCATTATAAATCAAATAAAACTTTATTTAGTGGTCATTGGTCTGCCCAGTGTCATCATGCAGCAGAAGATGTAAATGTAGGATTTGATGGCCATTATTAAAATGAAATTAATTTCATGCAGCAGAGGCTTGTGGATTTTGCCCTGTGACATAATAAGTGTGGTTTTGGTGATTTAAAGATAAAAAAAAGGTCCCCAGAGCATTTTGATGACTATATTTTACACAGGCTCTACAGGATCTCCAGTAAACTATTTGTCGGCAAAAGCATGTGACATCCCTCCCACTGTTTCAGAGGTTGTCCGGACCAGCCTCAGCAAGCCTCACTGCCTGACATGGATGGGTCTAAAAGGCTATAAAAGCAGGCGGATGTCCTCACTCTCTTCCCATTCCTACAGCAGAGATCCACCCTGAATCATTGTCTTTAGCGCTTTCATCACCTCCACAGCACACATCCATGCATTGCTTGCACTGCTTATTTCCACACCCCATTGTTAATTTGTGTCTTGCAAAAGTCTCTTACATGGAGTCCCTCTTTGTCACATTTTCTGAGCCACTGTCTGGCATACATAACAGAGTTATTGCACTTAAACACACCATTACTGCAGTGCCACTGCAGCTGAGGCTTGTTTACTTCTGTCCCATCCGCGCATTTGTCGATAGGGATGCAGGGAGCATTCTCAGTGATTGCAGACACTGGTTCCAGCAACAAAAACTTCTGAAAAAACTGTCACGGCACAGCCATGAAAATGGTGATAAAACCACTGAAATGTTAAATGTAGCAGCAAATGTCCTCGGTGTGCTAAGTAGCTCACTGTCCATTTTATTTACTTATAAATTTAACTTTTCATTGGAGAGGGAGATTATGCTATGTCTTCTTTCAAAACTTACATAGACTCACTTTATGTTACCAAGTTGGAATTGTCTGTTTAAAGTTCATTATCCTCAAGAGATGCCCAGTGGGATAAACAGTGAATCACAATTAATGCAATTAAATATAATTAACATATAATTCATTTTAAATTAAGACAGAGCATTAAGGCATTAACTTTGACAGCCCTAATTTAAATACTTAAAGTGTTAGGGTTTAATCTGTAAAAGGAACACAAAGAAATGTT